TTCTCTCCATTCCCATGACCACACTTTGAAACTTATCACCCTTCAAATTTTAAGTGTACAATCTTAAGCCTAAACTCCTCTCTCAGATCACTGCTCCTGATCTTGAAAGCCTTTCCACCTTTCTCCTGTTATATCTGCTCAGCAATCATCTTAGTTTTCTACTGATGCTATAAGGAATGAATTAGTGCAGATTTGGTAGCTTAAAATGACACACATGTAGTCTTTTACAGATCTAGAAACCAGAGTTCTAAAATCCATTTCACTGGCTAAAGTGAAGGTGTCGCAGGGCCGGTTCCTTACAGACCTTTAGAGGAGAATCCATTTTCTTGCCTCTCCAGCTTTCAGAAGCCACCTGCTTTCCTTGGCTCTGGCCCCTTCTCCATCTTCAAAGCAGATTTCTTCCTTCAGTAGCCTTCTGTCTCTGGCCCTCCTGCCACCCACTCAGGAGGCCCCTTGTGATTATATCAAGCCCACTCAAATGATCCAGAATAACCTCATCATCTATCTCAAGATTTTTAAAGTACCAGCATCTACAGTCTCCTTTGGCATGTAAGGTGACATATTTACTAGTCCTGGGGACTAGGCTATGAACATCTTTGGAAGCCAATGTTTTAGTAAGTTTTTTTGCTCCTGTGACTAAAAGACCTGACAAGAACAATTTTTAGGGGAAGAAATATTTATTTAGGGGCTCACTATTTCAGAGGTCTCAATCCATAGATGGCGGCTCCATTCCTTGGGGTTCAAGGTGAAGCTGAATATCATGACAGAAGAGTGTGGCAGAGGGAAGCAGTTCACAGGATGATCAGGAAGCAGAGAGACTCCACCTGCCAGATACAAAATATATACCCCAAAGGCACACCTTAATGACCCACCTCTCCTAACCACACTCTACCCACTTCAGTTTCAGGGGATTAATTCATTGATTGGGTTAAGGCTCTCAACCCAATCATTTCACCTCTAAATCTTCTTGCATTATCTTAGCCTTGAACTTTTGGGGAACACCTCACATCCAAACCATAATAGCCATTACTTAGTCTTCCACAGCCATCTGCTTTCTAGAGATCCTTTTATATTCTCCCAGTCTCCTTGACATCAACTACCTTTAGTTTTAAACCCACAAAAATGGGTTGACAGAAACTATTCTCTAGCATTTTCAATTTTTTTTTTTTTTTTTTTACAATCTATTCCTTACTCCAAACCCACCTGGCAACCCTTTCCTGAAACAATTCTAAATAATCTGCCTTTGCTGCTCTTTAAATGAGGAGTTAAGTATTTATGGACAAAAAAAATCTCCTTTTTCCTGTGTAAGACCAACCACTTCACTTCTGCTCTTTAAAAAAATCTTTAACTGCCACATAATAATTATACATTTGTGGGGTACAGTGTGATATTTCAATACATATATACAATGCACACTGATCATAGCAGGGTAACTGTCATATCCATCAATCACCTCAACATTCTCCACTTCTGCTCTTCACGCCCTTTCCTCTCATCTGGATTCCTCCATCAAATATTCACTTTACATCTTCCATCTCTGACTTTCAACTAGACCCATGTCCTTTGCACTTAGTTATTTTTTCCCACCAAAAAGAAGTGAGGACTTATGTTCTGAATGAGATATGTTACAGTTTACTTTTGGAATATCTCTCCAAAGCTTGTATTGAAAGCTTGGTTCCCAGTGCACCTAGGTTCAGCGTGGGGGGCTCTTAGGCAATGATTGGGTCATGAGGATTCTGAATGGACTACTGGGAGGTGGGTCCTAGTTGGAGTAAGTAGGACACTGGGGCTATGCCCTGGAAGAATTTATCTACTCTTTGGCCTCTCTTCTTTCTCTCTGCTTTCCAGTTGCCATGAGCTGAACAGCTTTCCTCCACCATGATATTTCTGCCTTGAAACCAGTTGACCATGGACTGAACCTTCTGAAACCATAAGCCTAAATAAATCTTTCTTCCTCTAAGTCATTCTTATAAGGTATTCTGGTCACAGAAGCAAAAAGCTAACACAAGGTGGACTATTTCTCCTTAAGTTTAATTAAATATCCTGGGGGCAACAAGTGACCTGACCCAGAACAATGCTTTCCTCTCACTGTGTTGCTGGAGACCAAGTGGGAAACTTGGACTTTTAACCTCCTCTGCTTAATGTAATGGCTACTGGAGGTTCTAAGTAGCATTTCTCTCCCTGCCAGAATGGTATCAATGGAGTCTGAATGGGATTTCCCAGCAGAAGGCAGGGAGGACTCACTCCATCTATCAACTAAAGAATGGGAGAATGATCTTGGAGAGGGAAGAGCTAGAGGAAGTGACTCTGTAAACCTGCAGAGGAACTCCACACAAGCAGGTGACCTATATTAAAATTCATCAAAGGTTGGAGAAATGAACTAAAGAGTAGAACAGCATGCAAGTTTGCAGACTGGCCTCCAGGTAGTGCACAATCAGATGAGAAGGGCACCATAAGGCTCTGAAGACTAACCTTGTCTCTCAGTAGTGACAATGTCTCCCACATCTATAACAGATGCTTTCATCTGAGCTTTACACACATCTATCCAATGTCTTTTATTTGGGTCAGATTGAGGATTCTTTTTTTCTTTTCTTCATGTGTTGAGAAGGATGAGTGATTCATGTTACATAACCTCTTTAAAGTCTCAGTTTCACTCCATAAAAGAGGGCAATCATACTTTGCTGATTTATTGGGGAGATTAAATATGATAAACACCACTAAGCAGCCTACGAGGCTAAGTATACACAATAGATGTTCTATATATCATTAATATCAGCTGGTTTTGATAAAGTTCCATTTCCTCATGAGGACCTGTACCTTCTGAAGACAAAGCACAGGATTTCTAAGTCATGAGCCCGCTTGCTAGCAAGTTCAGACCTCCTCAGAGGCCAGAAATCATTTTCCCCACTGGTCAATGCTATTATGTCCCTATAGCCTGCTGGGTGAGAGGATGTGTAACATTTTGGATGACTGCCTGTCTGAATGTTCAAAGACTTTGTAGTCCATTGAATTTTGCAAGTAACCCATTACTTCATGTAATGAGAAAGCCTCAGGATCTCTGGTTAGCTTCAAGTTTAACGGGGCTGATTTATATCTGAAATGATTGTTTCATTTCAGATCCCTTTTACTTAAAGGCAAAAGTAAGGCACAATGTTATCTCCCAGCAGATACTACTCCTCTACTGATTATTCACAAGACCTCCAGGGCATTACAGTGACAAATGTATAAACGGCTTTGTTTCGCATTAGATGGGTACAGGGAGAAGGGGCAGAGCCATTCACTCCTACATAGGATCCTGAGTCTTCATATTTTCATTTACTATATTCCAGTAGCAATTTATAATATATTCTGAGAAGCCATGTGATACTTCAATGGATGTTTCTTTTCAATTTTTCTCTTGTTGAACTAAAAAAAAGTCACTTAATAAAAGTAAACTGCCAAGGATCATATTTTCCTTATTTCAAACATAATAAAAGGATTAAAGTATTGTGAAATATGTCAACCAGCTTTTACTAATCCCTTAACCTCCAGAGAAAGGGCTTGCAATTAGTATTACATTAGAATTGTCAAAGCTAAAAAATTTAAAAAAAAATACTGGAAGAACTTTAACTGATCATACACACTAAAAATGTAGTTAGTGTAACACTTGAAATTAAAATTACAATTGAGGTGTCATACATTAAAGTGAAAAAATTGTAACGGTCTATTTAGTCATAGTGCTAATAACCACTTTACGCAGAATATAGTGAAACAAAGGTGCCTTTCTCAATGGTCAGAGCGTATTTGTGGCCATGTCTATTTGGCTAAGGCCATATAGAGCTGTACTTGGCTATAGGAATGTTAGATAAGAGAGACCACAAAGAACAGCTGTATTTAAGTTCACATAGGGCTCTGCACATTTTCTCCCTGTGGCAGCCAATCAGAAATCTTGCTGACAGGCAAACTTGTACAGAATGAATGATCCTATTTAGATTAATTCCTCTTAATGCCTTAGACAGGCCTACTTTCACGGTCTATCATGGAAAGAGCTCAGCTCCATTTAAAACCCAGAGATAGAAAATTCAAGCTTGATGACTTGATAAAATATATGACTCAACTACTAGAGAATGTGGGGTGTTCAGACCCTAGGAAAATAAGGCGAGTGGGCTCTACACCAGCTCTGAAGTCAGCCTGAGGCACTATGAAAAATGAGCACTCCACCAGGCATGGACTGAGGAAAATGTGGCTCTGTCATTGGTTTGGCACTTTACCCAGTAAAGGGATACCCTTTTGCCATGTAACGTGGAGATGCATTGCTAACCCCTGGCTTGGGGCTTTCACCCATGTTAACCAACACCCCACAATGAACTGGGCTGCTTACTCGGCTGGGTCTGCTTGCTCTCTCACCTCTACCATTGATATGAGAAGAACATACTGGGCTAGCCCATTGGGTCCACTAGGCTAATAAGAGGCACCCAGAGCACATGTGTGAGCTACCCAAGCCAAACTCAGCACAGCTGCCAGCTAGGCCTAAACTAGCTCTCCCATCTTGAAGACTTGTGAGCACAGTAAAGGCTTCTAACTGCAGGCTGTTAGGAACCTGCATATGTTTCTTACACAGCATAAGTGAATGAAACAGACTCCAAGGACTCTTGCCCTCAAGCCATCCCTTTTCCTGACTGTTCTCCACTTCTCATTTTGTATAATGAGGTGAAGGACTGGAGGGTCTCCATAGTCCCTTCTAAGGGTAACTGGAACCAGGAAACCTAGCTTGAAAAGCACTTCCAACTCAAGGGTCTCAGACCATCTAAAGCCCCAGAGGAGGAGGAAAAAAACCCTCAACTGCTCTTGTATAGGGAGGTGAGCCTCACTTTCTAGTGACTCAAATGTGCCCACAGCTATGTGAAAAGTCAGTGACAGAAAGAGCGCTACGAAAACCTGGTACATCTTGATAGCCAGGTCTCCAAGAAAACTAGTTTTTCTATTGGTTTAAACACAAACAAGTCAGAAGATGGACCGGATAGGAGAAAATGGAAATCTTTATTTTTAAACACGAGTACATTTTCAGGCTGTTTAAAAAGGAAAAATCATGTTACATTAGTTCAAAACTCTGCATCAAAGCATATTTATTTAAACTCTAATTTTATAAACACATAATGAAAGAAACATATACTTTATAAATATCTACTCAGAATAGGTATTATGAAAAAAAGTGTTTAAAAATAACAGCCCCAGATCTCCCTCTTTAAATATATAAAATTCCCACAGAATTCATAAGAATTCTTCCTCAAGAGCCAAATATTTCATTTCACAAAGGCCAACTCAGTTCTCATCAGACACAATCAAAAGTAATAGGAATATAAAAAAATGTAAAAGTTCTGTACAAGGGAATACAGATAGCACACGGGTAAATCTCATTACCATACATGCCATTTGTGTTTTAAAAATGTTTTATAAAAACTGCCATTTAAAACAAATAAGTGAGAGTCCTTCCCTGACTGTGGAAAATATATAAATTATCACCCTCCCACCTGGGGCATGCAGCTCCCACCTACTGGAGTTGGGGGACAGATGCCTCCATGTGTTTCCTGATGAAGGGTCTGGGACACATTTGGGGACCTGCCTCCTCTCTGGCAGTGGCTTTATCTAGTAGATCATTCACTATTATTTCCTTTCACTTAGAAAAATTCTTTGGGATCATAGAAAACAATTGCTCACAAGTGAAAGCAAGACCAGGGGATGACTTCTGATTGCTGAATTCAACTAATATGTGTATTCTGTATGCTTGGTGAGCAAATGCTGGAAGCCTGTTTTACCACTGTCAGAGACATAGCCAGTCACCTCCCCTAGCAAAACACATGGCACTGCCCCTAGGTGGTCCCTTCATCTTTTCTCTTCTGGTCCAAGCAGCTCTGTTGCCTGCAGCAGTGTATACTGACTATTGTCTCTTCTGACACTTCTTCTGGAAAGAGCTCTTCAAAAAAGTGCGATACACAGGATCATCCACATACTCGTTCTTAAACCGGGAGCTCAGCACTCTTTGTCGCTTCCTTTCCCCCTGGATTATGTCTGTTCCATAAAAGGTGTCTTCAAATCGCATATCAGACGCTGTGGACTAAAAGCAGCCAGTGTTACTCTGCAGAAGGGTAAAGCATTCAACCAGCACAGGACTGGATAAAAATCTGAAACCGTGTGGGCATGGAGGGGGTCTAGGGAAGAGCAGAAGACAACCACAAGTCTGCATTCCCATCTCTCCCCACCCAAGTCAGAGCAATGACTCTGTTAGCCTCACTTTCTCCAGGACCTCCAGCATATCCCCCCATCTCCACTCCCAGGGACTGTCCACAAATAAAACCAATATTAAACTCTTCTTGTTCTGAGTCTCCCTCACTCTCCATCTGTCATCTGGCTCCTGCCCAGTCAGGTCTCTGGCAAATCTGTCAACAGCAATCTCTCATTCATTCTTATTCCTATTTATCTCTGGGTCTCTGCCCCCATCATTTCCCAAAAGAATTCTTGTTAAAGTCCCAGATACAAATTCTTGACTATTTTGTCACCTAACTACTGCTTCAATCTTTCCTTTCTGCCCTTTTATGAGCTCTTGTCACTACCCTCCTCCTCCTCTGGTTACTCATTTCTGATGTCCCAGGGGTTCCCTTTCTTAAATATCTGCTCAATTCTGATGCTGCTGAGGTTCCGAATCTGGCCTTTTCCTCTCTAGACCTTCATGCCCACAGTTGTGGCTCCAAGATCTCCCATGCCCAGGCCTGCTAGTTTACCTGCCTACAGGTACCTCAGAGTCTATCTCAGAGGCACTTCAAATTAACCAGTGCTAAACTAAACTTAAAATCATCGTCTTCTGTTGCTGTCCTTTTTTTTTTCTCCTGTAAATGGCACCCCCATTCTCATCTATCCAGTTACACTAGTCAGAAACCTAGATGCCTCTGTAGGCATTCTTTTATCTTCACCCTATACAGGATCCCTCCCGCTATACCCCCAAATCCTCCTGACCCCAAGGCACAGGCCTTCCCACTTCTTCTCCTAACCACCCTGACCAATGGCACAGCTCCATCTATTTCCCACATAACGACTGAAAGGAAGCTCTCTAGATACTCTCCGATTATATGACTAGCTATGACTCTATGTCACAACTTATGATTTTTCAGTAGCCCTACTGCTTCAAGATGACATGCACGCTTGGTTGGCTGAACTTATATAACCTGGTAAATCCCACCCTATTTTCTGGTAGACAGAACTGATCACATCCTTGGTCTACTTCACTGGCTCAGGGCCTCAAGCTTCTGTCTTGGACACACTGTTTCCCTTTGCTCTATCATGTCTACCACAGAGAAGCTCAAGATTCCTGTCACCTCCACATGTCAACACAGGAGAATGAGGGTGGTGGGACAGGTAAGCTTCTTCCCATCAAAGGTTTGCTGAAGGTAAAGTATATTAGGGACTGTGCACCAAATTTTGTATGTTCCCAATACCAAACACTGTGCCCAGCACTCAGTCACTGCTTGTTAAGTGCTGAGGGAAGGTGCTCAGGCTTTTTCTATGACACTTAGGCAAAGTCCAGAGTCTACAGGAAAGCCCTATTTTTGCTTCCTAATTCCCTATTATTTTGCCACCTAAAATACATTCTCAACTGATTCTCAGTGAGGTGAATGACTTCCGATGACAACAACACACGGTGCACCTCACTAGGTCACTAAGACCATCTTCCTTGGTTGGTGACAAAATAGACTGGCTTTTCAGACTTGAAACATATGATCCATAGGGAAGAGAAGGACAAAGGGAATAGTACAAAGAAGGCTTAAAACTAAAATTGGTCCCAACTGTTGAGCTTTGCATGTTCTCTGCCAGTTCATGGAGCTGCTCATCCAGGACAACAGGCTACCTCCACGGGCTCCTCCACACTGCCTACTTTTACTCAGGAAGAAAACCACATGGCTCTAGGTTGGTTGGATACCCTCTGCCATTAGGAGAAAACATTTTGTTTCATTCATTCTTAGCAATGTACTTGCTCTGAGTAATTTTTCATTTTTATAAGTGCTAAAAAGTTATCAAAGGAGAAAATAAAATATCTCTGAAAGTGTTGCCACTGTGCAGAAATAGCAAAAGTCGGCCTCTCAAACACAATAATAAAGCCAATTTACCAGGAGCTCTAGTTAATTATGCACCGTTGCCATGGTTATTCTGCGAGACAATAAAAGGTAATGGGGCCATTTCTGAAGTAAGTAGAGAAGAACCCAGTACCATCACAAGGTGGACTGCTGATTCTTTTGAAAAATTTACCCCCTGCCAGTGTGAGTCTCAGTGAGCCTAAGTCATTAAAACACAAGGCCCCCCAATGAGGACTGCTAAGCTATCTCCTTAAAAAGCAAAAAAGATTCCTCTAACCATAAAATATCTTCCATCAATGAATTTTTCAATTAGATTTGTTTTATAAACTGGAAAAAAATAGCAAGCATGGGCGAACAACCTAAGAGTCAGAGGGTTATTCACCCACCTCAAGGAAAGGCACATCTGTCTTTGATCCAATAACCACAAAGGCTGGGTGGAGTGACCATGAGCCTTCTCCTAAAGGTATTTCCTGCTAGTCTCAGCTTTTTGGCATAATAGTCTGCTTTCCAGGTATATGTATGTGATCCATACATTTTTCATTGATTTTTTTTTTAAACTAAAAAAATCTGAGAAATAAAAACGACAGCAGCAGCAGCAGCAAGTTGGGCTTGCTCAGAGAAATGGACTTTCAAAAATTCAGGATCTGTGTTCAGATAAAACCACCTGAGAAGGCATCCTCGTATCACAGCCAAATCTACTATGGAACAAAGAGATTGTGCTCAGAGTAGAAGGCAAAGAACTTTCTTCTAATGTGATTAAGAAATAGTACATGAAATCTACAAGAGTTGGCAGGCAAAGTACTTAGTCAGACATGGATTAGAAAACCAAAGGCTTTAGGATCTTCCATAGGGCTACCTACTCCAATACTGACCCTCGAAATCACTAGGGGCTAAGGAAAGAAAGGACAGACAGGGAGGACAGAGGACAGCCCACAGGAGGCAGGAAGAGAGTGAAGGCAGCTGTCTCTAACATTTTCGAAGTAAGAGATTTCCAGATCTTAGAACAATGATAAGGTATCTAGGTTTTTAAGGACTACATTAAGATTTAGCTGGTTTCTTTACAATAGGCTTAGTTTTTTCTCTCCTTCAGTTATTAATTTGGTGGTTAATCTGTTCACAGGTCCCCTGCATGCTGCATTTCTCATTGGAATGGGGGTAGCAGTCCAGTGGCTTTCACTCTTTTCCTGACTATTTCACTTTGAAGGACCTTTCTCCGGGGGATACAACTTGGAGGGAAAATCAGTTCACACCTGGTGCAGTTACCCTGTGGTCAGGATTCCAACTGACAGGAGAAGGAGTTGAATATACAAGTGAATATTAAGAATATCCTGGGTTTTTCCAAAATATCCAACAATAACGCTACTGTTGCAAAAAAAGTATTCCAGAAGCATTACCGAAAAGTAAGACTGTCATTTACTCAGGAAAATACTTTTCACTTCAGTCAGGAAAAATACCATTCATTTATATTTCCCTGTTTAAGATTTATCACTTCAGAGATGCAATGGATATAATTTTAAATGAGCAGGATTTGACTTCATTTTAGGGTCCATTAAATATTTTATGGCACAATAATGTAAAACCTAAATTTTGGTTAATTATACTTTTTAACAATTTCAGTTTAGATTATTTATCCATATTTATTTATCTTTTAGTGGTTTGTAGTAGGCTTGAAACTAATGTTTTCTTTTTTAAAATTCCTTTAGCATTCCCACTATTAGTAAAGTGAGAGCTTCGTTTAATTATGAATGAACACAAACATTAGTGAACTTCAGATACAAAACTTAATCAATGCATGATAAGGCTACTGGAGAGCAGACATTTTTATGCTGAGTCTCCTTTAATCTACTACTGAATACTATCTTTTAATGTTGCTGTTGCTAACAAGATAGCAAATGCCTTGATGGTATCTACAATCCTGGCATTTCACATGGAGGACTTATTCAATGACTATTTTTGTTCATCAGTAAATGTCAATATGAAGAACTGTCATTTGACCTCATTAAAGAAAAATAAGCCGTGTGCACTAGTTTCCCTGTTTGTAGACAGATTTAAGCTTTCTATTTGGTAGGTTTTAATACGGGAAAAGTTTTTTGCATTGGCTTTCTTCAAAATTAATACAAAAGCCCAAGAATGTTTCCCGCTGGGCTTGGGAAGCAAGGGAGGGGATAAGGACTTCCCTGGTGGGTCTCCAAGTGTCATTTGCCAGCACTTACATAACGAGCCTTCACTCTCTTGGGTAATTCTTCATCTAAGGTATAGATGTCCTCTCTCTTCATTGCTATCTGGGATCCGTCTTCAAACTCAACCTAATGAAACATAAGACATTTTGATATATATTAAATTCAGACAAGCACTGATCATTTTTAAGATTTGTAATTAACTATCTGAAAAAGGGAAAAAAAAGACTCAAGCAGAACAAACATGGAAACAGCCAACACCTAGGGAACTAAGAAGAGTTCTTTCTCTTATCATTTTAAAACAACCAAGATTATTGAACACGAGTGTCATGGAATATGAGTTATCAAAATTGTATCCCCTAAAGCAAAAAAAAGAAAAGTAGGGGCTGATTAAATTTCTCAGAAAACGAGTCAGTGGAAAAATCAGCATTAAGACCACCTGGGCCTGTTATTGCTATGTGTCTTTAAGAGACTCTGCAACATAACAGGGAGAGCTGCTCCTCTTTGTAAAGTAAGATCACATATTTATTTTCATATCATAATCTTCCCAGATAAAACAACTGCTCAAGTTCCTATACAGTTTTAACTTTCAAAACTCTCTTTTGTCAAACTCAAATGGGTCAGAAAAATCCTAGTTTCTGACTTTACAGCATGCAAACCTCATCAATGTGTGAGAATACATCATCTAAAAGAAAAATGTTAAAAATTTGTTTCATGTTAACAAAGCAGCAGCAAATAATTTCATAATTTTCAGTACTCTGAAAGATTTTGACAGAGAAAGGTACATGACACTAGCCAAACAGAAACCTGAGATGTGGGCTCAGGTTTACTGCAGCATGAGCTCTACCAGGAGAAAACAAACCAATGGAAGTGGGAGGAACATCTGCTACATTCTAATCTAATCCACATAGGATATTTCAGAAATCCTTAACTTCTTTCTTTGTATGAATTCTTCACTTTTAAAAAATGAAGCTGGGTGTGCTGGTGCATACCTATAATCCCAGTTGCTCAGGAAGCTAAGGTAGGATGATAACAAATTCAAAGACAGCCTCAGCAACTTACTGAGGCCCTAAGCAAGTTAGCAAGACCCTGTTTCAAAATTAAAAGAAAAAAAATTAAAGACTGGGGATGTGGTTCAGTGGTTAAGCATCCCTGAATTCAATCCCTGCTAACAAAACAAAACAAAGAAAGGAAAACATGCTGATACTGATAGTCAGATGCTGAGTTAAACAATGTAGCTGTGCTGTCAATAAAGAAAAACATCTGTTGGGAAAAAAACCAACTATAATGGAATGGAAAATTAAATATAATCTTTACTTAAACTTTTTTCTCTTTTCTAATTAAAATTCTTATTATCCACAAACTGCTAACATTTGACTAAGCTGGACAATAGGGTGGAATTAGGTCTCTGTCACAAGACAACTCTTGTTGTCATTTCCCATAAGCCTGAATAAAGGTGGGAAGGGTTTTCTTCCTGGATTTGTCTGAGCAGAAAGGTTTCTTTAATATTTAATTAGGCCAAGGTGTTGTCTCATTTATACTATTTGATAGCAGAACTAGAACAACCAGTGCGTACTTTCATTCATTATAGATCATTTGAAAATTCTAAGAGAAAAAGGCAATTACAAAACTGAAAGAGTATGGAATGCTAGCCTAAGGGGACCAGCCATTTAGTTTGCTTGGGACTTTAAAGTTTCGCAATGCAGGACTTGCAGTACTAAAATCAGGAAGGGTCTTTTACTCTAGCAGGAGAAAGCTGAGTGTAAATTCTGACCCTTCTCTTTACACACAGCTCTTGAACATACTATCAAAATTGTATTCTTTTTATTAAAAATAACTTAAAAATTTGTTCATGGCATCTTTTTTCTCTCATTTGTAAAACAATCAATAATATCTACTTCACAAAACTACTGTGAGGATAAGAAATGTACACACTTAGGATACTTAGCACTGTGAACAAGGTGTTTGAGTTATATCTATTTTTATAAATGTCTCTGCTTATTCAATGGTGAAGCTGAATAATTAGACACAGAACACAAAACGATCTCAAAAGGCCACTTGGTTTAATGAGAAATTTTAAACTACTTGTGCTTGAGAGACAATTTTAATATTAGTCTTAACTTTTTCATTAAGTCTATAAATATACCCATAGTTTTATGTTGACAGGCCATCATAAATTCAACTGAAGTTAACACACTGATTACTAATTAGCCTGAATTTCAACGTGTCCTCATTATGTGATACTTTTCATGTAATTTGCTACATGGAAGAAGTTTCACTTTTGCACTTATTGTTTAATTAAATGTAATTCTTTTTCTTTTGAATGATGTAGTAACGCTTCTTTCCCAAGAATCTACAATATTGTCAGCCCTTGTTACAGTTTTTGTTTAATTCTGAACAATTGATGCAAAGAAGCTATAGCACCTACCTTATCATATATAACCTGAATCTGCAACTTAACACTTTCACCGGTACTACATGCAAAGGGAGAGATGGTCTACACATACAAATGGAAAAACAGCCTGTACACATAACACAGGATGCAGGTTGTAAGTCCTGCCCTCACTACTCCATTTGGGATTTTCTAGACCACGAAAAATATTCTCTCCTAAATTTTTCAAATTCCTTTGAACACCTTTAATTATACTACACTCCAGTTTCTGATGCTGTGTCTTAAAAAGTAATCTTCCATTTAAGCCCTTGCCCCTTTATCAGTCTTTGAACAATTTCTCTTCTGAACCTAGCAGTCTTATCATTCTTAAGCTGTTTTTCAACTTAGCAGGCCTGAACCTTCTTGCTTTTTCTCCTTTTACTTCAATCTCCCTATTTTCTCTCTACCACTTTACTTGGAATGTTGATTTTTGCCACAGAGTTACTGAAGATACTCCAAAGTGTTGGTTCTAATAAATGTGTCCCTTTTTGAAGGAACAGAAATACACATGTTGTTTGATCTTAACTCATCCTTATTTTTGGTAGGAACAAAATAATTTCATTTTTTAACTGCATATTCTTTAATACTATGCAGAGTTTATAATAGAGAATAGAAGAGCCACTCGATAGGTGCCCTTTTCCCTAAACACGCACTCCTTTATGTGCACAACCACCATCAGCTCCTTTGGACATTAACGGGCTGATCTGAGCCAATACACCACTGGTTTAGGTGTAGGTGATATGCTCACAGGGTTATGGGTCTCCAGCAAAAGTCATCATTTCAGGGGCAGCTAGCTGATGAACAGCCAACAATGTCCTGGCTCAAGGTGAGATGAACCAGCCAACTGGGCTCTCCTCATATAACAGGGACACGGAAAACAGCCTGTTTAGTTGTTTATCATTTTGGCTGAACCAAACCCTAACAAACCATTCATCACATGTTGTTGGAGTTTCCCAGTGTCCAGCCTTGTAACCAAACTCCAGAACTTCAACCTGGGTCAGCAGATATCGAATCTTTGTCTCCTTCATAAAGAGGTACCCCAAGTTCATATGACTTAGTGAGTCATAGCATACTCCAAATGCTCTCTCCCTCGGACACCTCATGTCCATCAGTGTCACAGATAGGGCAGCACCCACCTGGTACATATAGGCAACATTTGATCCAAGATATTTCGCCCCATAGAGTTTGCCATCAGGCCACTTGACTTGGACAACTTCTCCCTCTGCAGGAGGACCCAGCTTCAAGCAGTCTCGGCTCTGAGGAATAAACAGAGACAAGGCTTTTCAAGGCGAGTGCCTAAGTGACTCCATTTAGAACTGAGCAAATGATTGAACTCCTAGCAATTAAAAGGAGTTACTGCCTCTGTGTTTTATGGATTATGATCTTGCATGGGTGTTCAGAGGAAGAAAGATGAGCCAAAGGAGTACTTAAAGATTCAGCCTACATCATAAAGTTGCAAAGGAACCACCATAATCCAAGCAGGAAAAAAACAGCAGCATTTACATTTGCTATTTGACAAAGAATTGTTCAGGGGGTAACTAAAGTATGCATAGAAACTGCTTTAGCTGAGAAATAGACCAGTAATGATTTAAACACCTGACATATATACAGCATTTTGTAGTTAACAAAATGCTTTAGCACACATCTCATTTGATCATTATAATCACTCTCTGAAGTAGACAGATTATTAATTATCCCCATTTTCCTGACAAGGAAGCTGAGCCTCCACGGATGTTCCCTTGAGGTGTCAGGATCTTTTGAGAAGTGAAATTGCATGTGAGAGAAGGAGCTGAAGACACCCAGGTGAGGTTAAGAGATGTTTGACTTGCCAAGGTGGAAGGGGAAAGGCGAGAGGGGTACCTGTAGCACAGCTGCAGAAGTAGGAAGGTCAAGTCCTGCCTAGAATGCCTCTTAAGAACCCTGCTCCTTTCCAAAAAGGAATGCTTCTGCCAGCTTTGGCTTCTCCCATTAAGTAACCAATCCACTCCTTCCCACAGGAAATCATAGTGGCACCGTAATCAAGAGTCCAAAAACTTCTCATTTCAGTTCTTTAGGTTTATGGTGCTACTTCCTAAGGCAATTCAGAGAAAACTCCCCAGATGAGTGCTTTTTTAAGGGGAGGGGACAGAGGTAAAATATTTTCACAGTTTATAAACTCTCAAATTTGCATGTATAAGGACTGGGGATGTAGTTCAATGGCAGAGTGCTTAACTAGCATGTGTGAAACCCTGGGTTTGATCCCCAGCACCACCCTCCAAAATTGTATGTATTGAATAAGACATAATAAACTTTTAACACAAAGGAATTAAATACTTTGTAATTTTTTGCATACTTAGCTATTCATGATTTGCAAATACTGGCATTTTACTGATGAGGCCAATCTGACTGATTGAAATATACACTTGACCAATCAAGCTATAAATGCAGCCTGGGCATGATCTGAGGTTTAAATGAGAGGCACACAGAGGAAATATTTGGTTGTTTATGACTAGAAACCCCACCATGTGTTTCATTTTATTATTAATAGAAATTCTGCCTTACAAAAGAGTGGCCATTTTATTGTTGGATCAGGACTATACACAAAAGACCCAGCTATTCATTTTCCTAACTGCAGACCATGCTTTCCTTGAGAGCTACAGGCAAAACCAACCAACCAAACTGGTGTGCCCAGAGGCTCTACAGAACTGATAGTTTGCATTTAACTTAGTAAAATGAAAATAAGTCTATTCCCAGCCTTCATAATATTTGACCTCAGGGTGTGCAGAATTGAAAGAATAGACTGTAGAAACATACTCTACATATACCCAACATGGGTTTATCACCTCATCTCACACTTCCTTTTGAAAGAGTTATGTGGTACTAAGAACAATGGGGGCACAGCTTCTAAATACATAAAGAATGCATGTGTCCAATCTCCTAGGATAGGCGGTCACATCAGCTCTGGAATTACTCTGCAATGAAACCCAGATGCTTTGGTAATTATGTGGGGTGGGTAGGCTGAGTGCACATCTTCCCTCTGCTGAAGTTTTCTTGTACACGGAAGGAAGTCCACTAGGGTAATGCTCCAGGAGGCTCTTCTTTGCTCCTCAGAACTGCTATTAAGAGGATGAGAAGTGACTTACTTTTATTGTTGACTGTATTTCTCAAACTAGGTGTCATGGTATCCTGGGGGCACCATAGCAACTCACACTATCCATGTGGAATAGAGGGGAAACACAGTGATACTTGTGAGATTCCCAGCTTACTAGTACTATTAAATTGGTTGGACCAGACTTAACAAAACTGTCTGGTATTTCTTTTGACCTAAAGGCATTGTAAAAAATATTCTTGAGATATTAAGGATGTTGTAAAGCCAAGACAGTTTGGTGATCTCTGGTTTATCCCCTCCTTCTTTTGGAGCTACTCTGCAGTCAGGGAACATGTACTCTGCTCTGCTCCTTCAAAACAGAAAAGCCTGCGGTTTCCTGTACTACCTGTCATGAGGTAAGTCTAATTCCAAGGCCCAGGATTAGGAAACCTATGTGCCCACAACATGAGACATACTCCCCAGTATTTTGTTTTATTAATATTAAAGGTGATAGTTTTAATCCCCATATCTTGGCTCCTTCGTCTTTTTGTATAACTTCCTCAAACAGGATGAAAAGTGTTATTTATTTTTGAATCCCAAAAGAAGGATGTCAAGGCCTCAGGAAATACAGGGGCCTATACTCCCCATGTATTTACTTAAAACAAACAAGCTCTAAAGTGAGAGTTAGGACATTTCTTTAAAACTTAAATCTTTAATTTTATCCATGTGACCCTCAACAGAAATTTTATTGAACTTTAAAATATAATGCCAAATAAATCCAGTCTCATAATTTAGGTATCATGTCACTAAGGTAAAGCAATAGAAATGTGAACTAGATAGACAAGTATAAAGTATATTTGAGCAATTAATTATAAAAATAACTTTATTAAAAATGTATGTAACTTTACTAATGACAAGAAATTCATTTTTAAAAGGGGTTTTCAAATACTAAATACAGTATATATACAATCTGATATCTTATTTACTAATTGTCAATCCTTTAACTCCCAACAAATCTTAACTTGACACTGAAAGTGCCTGACCCCAAATAACTCTGTATAGCACAGCTTCCATCTGTCGTTGCTCTCGATAAGCCACAAAGATCAAATTAATAAACCTTCATGTCAAACTCTAGGGGAGAATTTCAGTTTGCTTTCTCCATTTCCTTGATTTCAGAATTCTTTTTCTGTATTCATAATAAATAAAAAATAATTAACCATCTCTAACAAGATCAATTGTTCTGCAACTCACCGCCCCCAACCAGAAGGCATTGCTCTTAGCCATGATGGCTACTTCTCACACTTTGCCAGGTTATTTAGCTGGAAGTGGACATATACAAAGTTAGTATGTATAATTCATTATATGCTCCCAAACTACTTTCCAAAAGATGTAAGGCAGTTCATAGCAAGACACAAAAGAACCTATTTCTGTAATATCCAGCTTCCACTGGAAAAAAACAGTACCAGTTCATCAGCTGTCTCCCATTTTGAGTTTGACAGAAACACTCAATTACTGCGTAGGATATAAAGCATTTAAATAGGAATCAAACTAGGAGTAAGTAGGATGATGAAAAGAAGTTGAAAGGCTTTGATATTAAGGTTTCCCTGATTCCTCATAAGCAGAAGCTGCTGGGTGTCCCCCAAATTGTCTCCATCACTAAATAAATACCAACTTTCTGACCACCTACTATGTGTGCAATACTAGGAGGCCATAATCCCCATCTGCCCACTCTAGAGACAGACAGAGGGCAAGTTGCTCCCTCTTGGTGGCCTGTCACACTGAGCCCATAGCTTTGTAGCCCATGATCACAAAGCAGAACTTTATTTGATTTAGAAACTGGGTTTCTGGGTAAGATTTCATTGGGGGGTGGGGGAGAAGGAGAGGTTTCTTTTAAAAGTAGAAGATCTCAAAAAATTAGAAAGGTCCAAAAGTGAAATAAATCCCTTCACAGTAATAGCTTGAAGGAACTGCCTTCTCAAAGAGCTGGCTCACACCTCCCTAGCTATGCACTGGGAACCAGGCACTAGGGTGCAGCTTCCAAAGTGTGATCCTGCAATGAGGACACACATTAAAGAGTAAAGATTCCAGCATCTCCCAAAGCTCTCTGGGAGTCAATTGATTCTTTTTTAAGTATTCTAGAATTTAGGAGCAGTTATATAAAGAATATAGAATGTTAAAGAGATCTTTCCTAATACAATTCTTGGTGTGTTATTAGAGCAAATAAACACCTTTGCTGGAAAATTATATGCATTAAAATCTTGACAATGATATACCTTCTCAGCTGCTGTCCAAACTGCTGAAGCAGTTGCCTTCACCTGACATGAACAGCTGTTTACCACTTGTTGTGCTGCCTCCAGGGATGTGTGAACTCACCTAGAATCTACCAGAGCCTTGTTCACAGGGACATTAGTATCTGGAACTTCCAGTAAGCCTGTAGCTACAGTACTAAATGGATGTGAAAATTAAAGACAGAAATAATAATCCTAGTCATGAGTGGACTCTTGGTTATGATCAATTACTTAAAGAACTGATCTATCAATCCAGGCAAGAGAGCTTTCTCTTGTCATGTCACATTCTCACCAAATTTAAAGAATGGGATTCTACTAAAGAGAAGAGCCCAAGGCAGTTTTGATCATTTGAATTCTGAAGTCACCATGTTCTTGGAACTCTTCCTGGGCCCTTTCAAAGGGACCCCAGAAGCTGCTGTCCTTGATTATTGCCTGTCTTAACCCTGTCCCACTCCCATCTCTACCACTGTTTCTAACACAAATCAACCAGAGGGCAGGCAGTCCCACCTATTAGCCCAGTTGCACCAGATGAAGACATGGCACATGAATCTCTGGTAGTTAATGGGCATATTAGTTTGGAACCTCTGACAGGCCCCCTTGGGGAAAATGCTTAACTGACTTGGATCAAACTGATGCCAGCAGCTGCTAGCACACTGAAAAATAATCACAGCTCATTACTGGACTCTGGCAGGGATTAACAAGACTGACTGACAACCATGCGATAATTGTTGTGGCTACCTGTCATGTGTTTGGCTGCCCAGCATCTGAAGCCCCTTCTCCCCTTAGAGTCTCTTTCAGAGGGAGGCAGAGCTGGTCTGCTATGACAGATGCTGAGCAATGCCAGATACTCTTCCCTAGCTTCTCTGGCAGCAAAGATATCAACAGAGGCCCAGCCTAGGAT